CTGTCAGTGACTGTGTGACTCAAGATTAATTGCTCATTCACTCAACACCTGTGGAACACCCACTCTATGTTTAACACCATGCCAGGTACTGGGGCTATATGGTTTGGAACAGAAATGGAACTTGTTCTTAAGTCACACAACCTTTCTGAATACCACTTACTTACATTTGCAATATGAGGAATGCAATGATCTCTCAAGATCCTCTACCTCTAGTTCTTTAATCCTAATTTCTCTGTGGGACCACAGTGCACCTTGAAGATCAGTAACATGAAATGTGGTACCCAACATTGTGCTAACCACTTTTCTATATATTATCTCATTTTGTTTCCTCAAGAATCTCCTATAATGGGTATTATTATGTCCATTTTATAGATGAAAAAACTCAGTCAGAAACACTGAATTGCCTTTTGCTGTGAGAAAAAGGCAGAGCCAAACTCAACCCCAGTTCTATTGACTCCAGTCTTCCCTCCTCTGTTTTCCAGACTTTTTATTTTTTATTTATATTTATATAAATATATATTTATATTTTATTTTTTATTTTTATTTATACAAGAACTGGGGTACAGGTCAGAGGCATGGGAGGGTGAGAGGATTCACCAGAGATAGAGTGGGGAGCAGAACAGGCAGATGGACTGAAATACACTGCTGAGGGGAGCAGCGGGCGAGATGGGAGAGGTCTGCCATGCTATGTGGGAATCTCCCTGGCAGGCCAGGATCAAACCCGTGCTACAGAAGCTACAGACAGCTTCACAGCATTGTGCTCAACCAGCTGCACCACAGGGAGACCCTGCTTTCCAGATTTTTAATGCTTATTCATCATCCCTGAACTCTTCTCTGAGAGTCCTTACAGAAAGTTTATTCAAGAATCCATGACAGTACAATTCAAAGTATTTCATTCTGCCTTATGGATCTTTCCCCAGCTTTCCCTCCCTCCTTAACTAAGCTTTTCTCATTCATCCCAAGGATGTACTTGCTATTTTATACAACCCAAGTGCTACTGTTGTTTTGCCTTTGCTTGTGCTTTACCTTCAACTTGAAACCATTTTCAATATTGTCTGTAGTCAAATTTTGTATTCTTTCTTAGACTTTATTTGTGTTACTACTAAATTTAATTAATTCAGACCCTAATAGTTGTCTAAGACAGTAAGGAGTTAAAACAGAGTAAAAGACCACCCCTTTAGGGAGAAATATAGCATGCACAGATAATAAGAACCATAATGGGCAAAAATAAAAAATTATGAGTCATTAGAACTTAGAAATCAGAGCCTCCCTGGTAGCCTAGGGGTTAAGTCTCAGCACTATTACCATCAAGGCCTGAGTTCGATCCCTGGCCAGGGAGCTGACCTCATGTAGTGTAACAGACCTGTCCTGTCTTGCCCACTGCTCCCTTTAGCAGTGTAGTTCAGTAAATTTGCTTGTTTTGCTCCCCACCCTGTCTCTGGTGAATCCTCTCACCCATACCCCCACCTCTAGCCTACACCTCAGTTCTTCTAGACAAAACAACAACAACAAAACAAAACTTGAGGAATCAATAGACATTGGTTTTATGGGAAAAAAAGAAGAGAAAGTCAGGCGGACGTATGAGGTCAGACAAAGAGCAGAGAGGTCCACTGAGTATTGGAGGAGTGAGATGTCTTTTTGGCTGCTAGGTTAGAGGAACTCTGGAAGCCAAAATGGAACAACTGAGCTGGATGTTATTATTGAACATTATTAATCAGAAGGAGTACTGGATTAAAAATTTGAACATCTGCATTCTTGGTCTATCAATTTGTAATCTGGGGATAATGAAAAAAAGGAACCTAAGCCTTCACTTCCTCATCTCCCTGAGGCTACTTCGATATGTAGAAGTCAGAGCTCCTTAAAATAGCCTGCCCTTCTACTGTTCTCACCTCCGACCATTTTTGGTACAATAATATGTGTGAGGAGTCGGTTGAGTTAGACCATATGTGACATGATATTAATCACACATACACTCTGAGAACTCTAATAATGCTGAAAAACATGATTTCTTACAAAGCCATACAAGTTAAAAAATTTAAGCTACACAATTTAAATAAAATTTACATACATGCATTAAAAATGGAATTCTCCCCCTACTAATGTAATAATTTAATTTTAAGGAACTCAAGTTCCTTAATTAAATATTTGTGATTGTAACTTTAAGGGCTTAGGGTTTCTGCTTTAAATTGACAATCAGGCAACAATGAGATTTAAAGGTTAATTTTTAGTTACGTCTGGTTCAGGCAGGTGGTGCCAGATAGGGTAGATGGTTCCAAAGATGCTGATCCAGATAAAAATGTGGATAGTCCCGCACAGGTGATCAGTCGTGACAAAGTAGGGAAGATCAAAAAGCAGCAACCATGAGTCTTAGGAAACATGAATGTCCATGTCTTCAAGTTAGCTGTAATAGTTTATGTATCAACTTGAATGGGTCATGGGTTGTTCAAGTGTTTGTTTAAACATTATTCTAGATTTGGCTGTGATGGTTTTTCTGAATGAGAGTAACATTTTAACTGGTTTAACAGTTAAACCAGTAGACTGATTAAAGCAGACTGCCTTCCCCAATGTGGGTGGGCCTCATCCAATCTGTTGAAGACCAGAATAGAACAAAAAAGCAGAATAAGGGAAAATTCACTTCCTCTTACTTTCTGACCACAAGCTAACACATCAGTAACCTCCTATCTTCAAATCTGCACTCAGATTGGAATACCACCAGCTTTCCTGGGTCTCCAGTTTACCAAATGAGAATCTTTTTTTCTTTTTTTTTGTGGGACCCTCGCTGGTGGCCGGGGATCGAACGGGCACTGCAGAGGCTGCAGGCAGCCTGGCAACCCAGCGCTCAACCGCTGCGCCACCAGGGGAGGCCCCCAAACGAGAATCTTAGAACTTCTCAGCCTCCATAATTGTGTGAGCCAGTTATGTCCATCCGTCCGTCTGTCCGTCCATCCATCCACCATCTGTGCTGGTTCTTTTTCTCTGGAGAACCTTGGCTAATACAGTAGCATTAGATTTGGATTAAAAAGTAAAGGATGAAGGCAGCCAATGTCTCTTTGGAGTAAAGTGATGAAAGGTCTTCCTTTTTAAGTGCAGTAATGCAAGCTAATGTTCTTAAGTGGCAGTATATTTTAACGACAAAGAGTTCAGACTCTAGAACCAGAATGCTTAGATTCCTATTCTGACTCCACTATCGATGAGTTAGATGACCTTGAACACATTACTTAACTGCTCTGGATCTCATTTTTTTTTTTCCACTTGTAAAAATAATACACCTGCCCAATAACAGGTTGTGAGAATTATATAGAACAATGTATAAAACCTGCCTGAAGGAGTTTACACAATAAGTATTACTTAAGTGATAGCTATTATAAACCCTCCTGGCCTCATTCAGTTCATCTAAGTCTCTCATAGAACATTTTGGGTTTTCTGAAAAGCAACTTTTCTTCTAGTCCATGATCAAAAGTAGAGGGAAAAGAAGGATTGCACAAATGTTTTTCTGAATTTTTACCAGGAAGTCTTTGAAATTATCTAACAAGAGATGTTACAAGAGATCTAACAAGAGATGTATTTAAGTCAATTATCACATAGTGGCTTACATCTTCAATAAGTTAGAAGAACTATGTTCTGGAGCATAAGTCTTTAGTAGCTGTCACTTCTAGCACACATTAAATTTCCCACATACGTGACTGGAAACCTGCTCTATGAGGAAGAGGACTGAATTCCCTTCTTCTTTCCTTTTTTCATTAATTTTCTGGCCATAAAAATTTTATGTTTATTAAATAAAATTTAAATACCCAGAAGTTATATAAAAGAAAACAAAAACCACCCATAATCCTAGCATTTGAAGATAACAATATTTTGAAATATGTATTTTTAGCTTTCTAGTTGCAAGAGACATATACACTTAAAAAAAAAAATGAAGACTGTAATATGTAATTCCAAATCCTGATTCTTTATACAATGGAATTAGATTGTAAACATTTTTCTATGTCATTTTGTACAGGTTGAAATCTTAATTTTAATGGGCAGTTTAGCAGTTTCTAATTCTCTTTTATTGTAATAAATCCTTCAATAAAACATCTACATAAAGAAATGCTATTTCCTTATGAAAACAATGTATTATGAGAACATAGTGAAACATCATATATGGAAAGTCCTTAGAACGATGCCCGTCACACAGAAAATGCTCAGTACCTTTAAGAAAGATGATGATAGATTTCTAGTGGGGGTATTAATGGATGAAAGAATGTAAATATTTTTAGGCATTAGATGCCTACTGCTCATTTGCTTTCCAGACAGGATGTCACAGCTTCCATTCCCAACCTGCGGTGAGGGAGAGGGTGTGCCCCCTATACCCTGACATCGCTGTTTTTCTCAATTCAGTTCAGTTTTCCTATTCAAGTGAAGAACGCCATTTTCCTTTTGTGGCATTGGGTTAACTGCCAATTTTAGTGATTGGTAGTATGGTGTGTCAGTTTTTCTATTTCTATAGATGCCTCAGGGGATGTTAGGAGAATCTTAAAAGTCTCAAGTGAATATTAGACTGAGGCCTCTGAGTTATAGAGTGGCATTATACTTTACCTCTGAGACACTGGAGTTCTGTCCGAACCCACAATTAAACCAGAGTCTAGGTACTACTCCTGGAAACTCCTTCCTATACTGTGAATGTGAGAGAAGCATTTGGAGCTCTTGTCTTAGGGGAGTAGAGTCAGATTTAAAAGCTCTAGGTTGCCAATATGTACACTATATGGGGTTCAATACTAAGGGCCAGGCAAAGACCCAGTCAATTAGACCCAGTCAATTAGACTGTCCAAGTCTTAAGAAAGAAATGCAAAAGAAATCAAAGAGCTGATATTTTCTCTCTGTCTGACATATTTTATGCTTCAACTTTGAAGTATTATAGCAAAATCATGAAGTACATTTGAGTATTACTAACTTACAGTTTAATTATATGTCATGCTAATGAATTCTCTCATCAGTTTAACCCATTTTTTACAATTCAGATTTCAGTCCAAGGCTTCAGGAACATTGCAAACAGCTGCACTGGAATTATGCATCTGACCATCAATGACATGCCAACCCTAACGGACAACTGTGTAAAAGTAGGTCATTGGGAAGTACATTTTCTTCTCAGTTTCATTAGATGGGCCGATTTTCTAGTGGTTTGAATTACTGAAAAATGTGCATAGACTTTTCATTTTAGAAGTTTTGTCACAGTAATAAAAAAATCATTAAAAATTTACACACTCACATTTGAACATTTGAATCCTTACCTTAAGCTGTTTCATAGTTAGGGTAGTTTGTTTCTAATATTATAGCCTAAACATAAACTTTAAATATATTTGTTTTATTCACTGAGGTCACATTAGTTTATGACACCGTATAGGTTTCAGTTGCGCAGTTTCTCACCTCAGCAACAGTATGTATAACTCCACACCCATCACCAAATGTCCAGACACCATCCATCACCAACCAAATTGGACCCCTTTACCCCCTCAGGTACCACCCACCATTCCACTGTCAGAGTCTAAGGGTTTGTTGATTTTCTTTGTTTCTGTAAGTTCCACAAATGAGTGAAATTATATAGTATTTCTCGTTCTCCGTCCGACTTATTTCACTTACGTGTAGTCCCTCAAGTTTCACACACATTGTTGTAAATGGCAAGATTTTATCCCTTTTTATGAATAGTACATAAGTATTAAGTTCTGTTCTACATGTCAGTTTTTTAAGACATCTTCTCATGTCTTTTAAGACATCTTCTCATGTCTTCCCATATGTTTGTAGCATCATTTAATCATAATTAAATGATGCATTACTCAAATGTAAGCATAGTAAAATATATTGGGGGAAAAAGGCCCCATTTTTTGAAATTTGAAAAACTGAATAGTTAATGTGTCTATTTTTGAAAATATTGAGAGAAAAGTTAACTTCATTTTTTTCTAAAATTTACTCTATATACTGTGGTTAATTTAATTGTGTGAGTTTTTTTCCCTAAAGGCTTTAGTTGAAAAGTGCCGTCGTATTACATCAGTAGTTTTCATTGGTGCACCACATATCTCCGACAGCGCTTTCAAAGCTCTTTCTGCTTGTAGCCTCAGAAAGATCCGATTTGAAGGTCTGTGATATGAAAAATGTAGTTCAGCATTTGTTTTACTTTTACTTTTGGGGCATAATAATTATTTGTCTTTTCTGTTTTTTTTCCCTTTAAATCAGGAAATAAAAGGATTACGGATGCATGTTTCAAATATATAGACAAGAATTATCCAAATATCAGTCACATTTATATGTCAGACTGCAAGAGGATAACAGATGTTAGCCTCAAGTCACTCTCACCTTTGAAGCAATTAACTGTGTTGAATTTGGCAAATTGTGTAAGGTAATGAATCATTCAGTCATATATTTAGGAAACTTGGATTATCTAGAAAGTGCCAGGCCCTCTCCTCCAGGAGTTCATTGGTTAGTAAACATGAAAATTATGAGTTCAATTGTTAATGTGGAAGGAAGTACAGAGTTCTGTGATCACCCAACCCAGATTGGTTAAATGGGGGGTACAGGGAGATTTTCAGGAAATGCTCAGAATATATGGAATCATAGGCCCTTCTAAGAGTAAATAAATTCATAGAAACATTTATGTGCAACCATACTGAGTGATGGTTCTGATAATAGTTAACATTTTCTGATTTGCTTATGAGGAACCAATTTTATTTAAGGGTTTCCTCTTGAGTACTAGTTAGATTTCTCCTTTGTGTGTATTTGCTGACAAATATTGAGTTCTTACTGAAATAAGCACATATACACACAGTGAGTATTTGTAAATGTACTGTGTATATATATGTGTGTGAAACAATCCTATCTGTAGTAATATATGAAATAAAATTGAATTACATTCTTATTTTTTACTCAGGTGCCTGTATGTTAAATAATTTAAGGATAAATGGAGAGGTTTTTCAGTTTCCAACAGTATAGTACATTTAAAAAAATGTGGACTCTTGTTGAAACATACTTTCAATATATTGCTGGGCCGACAAAGAGTAACAGACATTCAATATCCAATACCCTGTATTATCCTTAATGAACAGAGTGTCTGGGACAAATGTCAAGCAAACATAGCTTGTGTTAGCTGTTATAGTAGTTATAGCTGCTGCAAGCAAAACAGCTCATGCCAACACTGACATGTAGACAATCAGCTCTGTCAGGACTCAAAGTAGGCAAGCTGAACCTGCAACTTCTGCAATGCTGGATCTCTTCAACTGGGCCATAGCAGGTAGCACCCAGGCTCCTGGGAGAAGCTGGCCCAAAGCTTCTCTAAAGGAAAGCATCTCATATTGATATTTAGACTTCTAGGATTCTCATAGATTAAGATCAGATAAATAGGTGCTCACAATTAAAGGTTGTCAAATGTACAAAGATATGAGAGCTGATGAGAAACAGTCACCAAAAACAGCAAAATAAATTTGACCTTCAAGTAATTCAGACATTGAGATTATTAGGCATAGAATATCAAGTAACTATGTATGACATATTAGAAGAAATGAAAAATGGAACCAGAAGTATGGGCAGGCAAAAAATAAATGCAAATAAATTCAGATTTATTTGAAAAAATAACTTCTAGAAATAAAAAAATTGTAATATGGTTAATGAAACAAAGAAACTCAAATGATACACAAAATAAACTAGTGGTTGCCAGAAGCAGGGGGTGGTGGTGGTGGTGTGTGTGTGTCGGGGAGAGGGGAGGTTGGTGATGAGCAAAATGGATGAAGGTTTCAAAAGGGACAAACTTCTAGTTACAAAATATCTAAGTCCTGGAGATGCAATGTGCAGATAGTGACTAGAGTTAATAATACTGTGTTGTATATTTGAAAGTTGTTGAGAAGAAACAAAATTATAACTGTGTGGTGATGGATGTTAACTAGATTTATGGTGATCACTTTGCAATACATACAAATATTGAAACTTATATACCTGAAACTAAGAAAGTTACATATGAAATTATACCTTAGTAAAAAAAACAAACAAAACACTACTGAGTTTCTAATCAGCATATTAGAACAGAGGAGAGAATTAGAGCCAGCAGATAACTAAAGAAATGACTACAGAGTTAAAAAATCAAGACAAATATAAGAGTACATAATATATAGTGAAAAGAAAGAAGGCTTAGTATTAGTGTTTCAGATTGCATTTAAAACAATCATCTATAAAAGATATGTCTAAAGCAGTAAGTTTGAGAGTCAAAGAATATTTTTCTCAATCAGACATCATTCCTTTAAAAATTGGACCATGACAAAGATTTCTTAAAATAATTTCTGTGTGTGTGTAGAAGAACTGGGGGGTGTAGTCCAAAGGTGCGGGGGGGGGGGAAGGAAGTGAAAGGATTCCCCAGAGACAAAGTGGGGAGCAGAACAGGTGGATTTACTGAAATACACTGCTGAGGGGAGCAGCGGGCAAGACAGGAGAGGTCTGCTGCACCATATGTGGGCTAGCTCCCTGGCCAGGGATCAAACTCAGTCTTTAGCGGTGATAGCACTGAGACTTAACCCCTACCCCAACAGGGAGGCCCAACATGTACAAAGTTTTAAAGCAAGTTCTTACAACTTTCAAACTTTTGATACCAACAGACTATATTTTCTTACCACAAGGTAATTAATTTAGGGATCAGTAATGAAAAGGTAAGTAAAATATACATATATAACTTAAAAGTAAAATTCCAGGGCATCAGAATCACCCAAAGAGATGACTCAAACAACATATGCCCAAGTCCTACCCCCAGAATACTGCATCTGAATAATCAGGGATGGAACCCCAGTATGTATATTTTTCTAGTTAGTGAAAATATCCCTCAATACTTCAGGCCTGATGTTTGCCAATAGATAAATTAATTGGTTGAGTTTGCACTCCCTTCTCCCCTACCTGTCTCCATACACCATGGGGCCCTTAACTGCTTTTCTAGGTGCTGGCACAGTCCCCACTTCTATTACGGATGGAAAGTGGGTTGATGGGCATAGCAGGAACCCACTTACTGTGGCCCATTTAACTGAAACAGGATTGCTATCTGCCAATGCTTCTGAAGGAAAGGATCCATAGGTCACTTATTGGGTTTCTAGTGCAGTTAAATTGCCCTTGTATATAGTGGTTATTCCTCTAAAATTTTAGCAATAGCTTGGCTTTTAGTCTGGGTTCTCCCTCTCCTAAGTTTTGCAAGAGATTGCATCAGGGACCACTTAACTTGATCACATTTTAACCCAGAGTAAGAGATCTGAAAACCATCTGTCTTATTAATAATTGTAATAATTATGTCACCTAATGACATGAACAAATGGACAGGAATAGCATTTGTATTACTAGATCTCCCATTACTATCATTTATACTTTTTATATCACATTAAAAGCTGTATAATCAAATGCTGACAAAATATCATTATTTAGAATTTACCTTTCCAATTTGAAATGTATATGCATAGTAGCTATTATTTTATTATTATAAAAAAGTACATATAAAGTTTTTCTTACTCTTTCCTACAGAATTGGTGATATGGGACTAAGACAATTTCTGGATGGTCCTGTGAGTATAAGGATAAGAGAGCTAAACTTAAGTAACTGTGTCCACCTTGGTGATGCCTCTATTGTGAAACTAGCAGAACGGTATGATTAAACAATCATATTTCAAATCATATCAATAGTAATTGTGTATTTGCTAATCGGAGAGATCAGCAATAGACTGTCTTTTGGAAAACATCGGGGTTGCCCAGAAGCTTGTCCAATACTTAGTGAAACTGAATAAATGACATGGAGTCACAGATGAACTAATCTACTGATTATATTTGAGACAATTCTTATTAATTTTACCTTAGGGAAAGTTTTAGATGGAGTTATTCATTCATATAAATTCATTTATATAAATATGTAGTCATGAGTGATCCTCTGTACTTGTTTGTTTTTAAAGATTTATTTATTTTTGCATACAAGAGATAGGGTGTAGGCCAGAGGTATGGTGAGAGGATTACCAGAGAGAGAGTGAGGAGCAGAACAGGGGGACTGACTGAAGTACACTGCCGAGGGGAACAGCAGGCGAGTCAGGAGAGGTCTGCTATGCCATGTGGGTTAGCTCCCTGGCTGGGGATCAAACTTGTGCTGCAGTGGCTGCCAATAGTTTGACAATGCTAAGACTTAACCCCTTGTGCAACCAGGGAGGCCTCTTCTCTCTGTAATTTTTAAGGATATTATCTATGTAAGCCTTTATTTCCCAAGGAATATGCTTATGGTTTATTCTTGATCCTCTTTATTTGACAAGGATCTTGTGAGACTAAGGATGAATAAAGTTCAATTCCTTTAGCAAACTTGTAAGCAACATATAGAAGACTTAACTGTACATGATTCATTATGGTACTTACAGGACAGTTTTTTGTAGGCATGTGATTTATTTCTTATTAGAAATTGCAATATGAAATCACTGAAGAATGTCTATCAATCCTCTTCCCTCTCACCCAATTTTGTAATACCAAATTACTTTCTATTTCTAAGCTTACTTTCTTTATGTCAAGAAAAGGAAAACCCTTGCTTCCATACCATTTACTTTCTCTAGGTAGTTATTATATAAAGAAAATGCTACTGACAATGTGATGAAAAACTAAAATTAATTTTTCATGCTGCTTTCTTTCAGCTGTCCTAATTTAAACTACTTGAGTTTACGAAATTGTGAACATTTGACTAACCTAGGAATTGAACATCTTGTACATATCTTTTCCTTGATATCAGTAGATCTCTCTGGAACAGAAATTTCTAATGAGGTAAAAAAAATGTTCAAAACAGTTCAATAACTATCATTTTCTATAATCATTTCTATTTTGTAAGGAATGAAGAAAAAATATTTTTATTTCCTAAATTATTAGAACATAAAGAACAAGTTTAGGAATAGTGTTTCTGGAATAGTGATATGAAGTTATATGTAAATCAATGGTATTGTTTCTCTATTTAAAAATGGCAAAATAGTGTTGTTAGGAAAGTCCTAACAGATCAGAGTTACAGCATACATCTGAGATGTTTCACTAGAGAAGTTGGGTCAATGTGGAGACAATGTATTTAGATGGTTAGGCATATTTTTCTTATGAACTGTACTCTAAACAACTACCTGAATGCCTTAAGATTTTAGTTCAAAACTGAAGTCTAGAAATGGCCTCATTAAATCTACAAAAGGATACAATTTAAGGGACTAATTTCCTATAAGCTGCAGTTGCTACGCAACCGAACTGAAACTCAGATTACATCCATCCTGCCACTGTAACATGATTCCTCATTTACCAATCAAACAGGAGATAAACCCAGACAGTTTTGCTGTGTTTCTGAAAGGCTTTTAATTGGCCATAGTTAGATAAGAAACAGTAGTGACAACTCTTGAAAATCACTACATTAAGAGGGATAAAGGGACAAAACAGAGGTGAGGATCTCCACCCATGCCATGCGTTTGCTAAATCCTTATTCATCTCTTAAGACTCATCACCTACAACCTATGGTGAGGCCTCTGAAAAACCCTACTTTCCAGGAAAGTACAAGCACTTCTCTATGTGCATCTCCAGTTCCAGTGCATCCTTTAACGTGCTCGGTTTCATGCTGTATCATTGATATCTGTGTTACCTGTCCCTCCTCTCCCAACACTCAAGGGATTCTTTTAGTTAAGATTGTGTCTGTTCTTGTTGATTTTGATTTTTTCTTTATTATAATTAGTCTTTTTCCTGGCCCCTTATTTAGGTTTTCTAAATTTCTGCTATGAGTGAGACCATCTGGTATTTTTCTTTTTCTTTCTGGCTTATTTTACTGAGCATGATCCCTTCCAGCTCCATCCATGTTGCTGCAAATTGTATGAGTTTATCTTTTTTGACTGCTGAGTAATATTCCATTCTTGATCCAGTCATCTATTTTTGGGCATTTGGGTTGTTTCCATAACTTAGCTATTATAAATAGTGCTGTTCATCGGGTTAAGTTCTTTCCTTTCTTTATCTACGTGTGAACTTAGAGTCAGCCTCCATTCTGCTAGATGGTCTCATCTCCTCTTGTGACTCCATCTAAGTGTGGTATGAGAATGAAGGTGGGGCTAGTTATATGTAGTCAACTCATAATGACAAAGTCTGGTTTTGTCTTCTCAATGGTGTCTACTGTCCATGCTGGAATCCACTGAGATCTCTAAGGGTCTATTTGGTCTTTGGTTTCATGTCCACATAGATCTCTGACATGCCTTCTTTGTCCCAGCTCCAAGGCCTTTTCAAGTCTCTAAGTTCCATTGTCATATGTGCCTTGCTCTGGGCCCTTCTAGATCATGCTGGGGCCTGAGGGCTCTGTGAGGCTAAATTTGATCCATAGTCTTAGGCATTTCTTGCAAACATTTTCTCACCATCATAGCTGGGTGTACTTGCCTTCTGACTTATACCCCTCAGTCTCTGACCCATATCAGTAGATTTTAGTTGGGCTTGGTACTTGTGAAGCACTTATGAACAATTAGAGGGTCAGAAGAAGGGAGGGGGCAGGGTTTTCCTCCACCTTTCTGTCATATCATCAGCTTCATTTCCTTGGTGTTCACTCTCTTTAGTCAGGCCTTCTATGGTTTTGCCTTCCCTGGGTGCCCTTGGTCCCTTTGCTCTTGGGTTCCAATAACACCATTTCTTTCCATTGTACTTCCAGCATTAGTGCATTCTTATCTCTAGACTGTGTCATTATCCCATGTAACTTCTAATTTTCTCTACCCCCTATTTAGCCAATTCCTGGTGACAATTAAATTCCCCCATTTAAAATAGTTTTCATTGTTCTCACTAGATTTCAGCTGACACAATAATGAACATAGGAAAATTTCAGTGCCTTGTTTCTTTTCACAGTTCTACAGGGGAAAGGTGGGATGAGTCCCTATTTACTGTTAATCTCTAAATATATCAGGAGGTTCTAACATTTCATCTAGGGACCAAGGAGGTCTAGAAAAGGGCCCTTAATGAGAGACCCCAGAATTTCATCTTTTTATTTTTTTCTGGTTCTCCCTTCTCCTCCTCTTTGCCCCTTTCTTCCTTTCCACTTTCTTCTCTTTCCCTTCTTCCTACTATGTTTCCCTCTCCTCTCTTCTTTTCTTTTGGCATTGTTACATAAATAGTTGGCATAGATCTAATCTGAGGGTAAAAAAATGTTCCAACTTATTACTTGGGTTTTAATAATGTTATGCCCCAAATCAGAGCTTAGAATTGAAGCTTAAAGGCCTAGAATTTTGTTTGTCCTGTAAAAACCCTTCTCTGACACATATAAGTAGCATGTCCAGCTGTTGTCTGAAGGATTCCAGGGTAACAAGAAGTAGAGGATCAAAACACATTATAAATGCATTAAAATATAATGCCACCAAAGCACTTAACACAATCCTGAAGTATCTGGTGAGCATTTGTTGAATGAGTGGAATGAAGTCTAAATGTACTATCCTAGTGTTTAGCATTTGGGGAAAACTTGGTTTTTATTTTCAAAGACCATGTGGTGAAATTATATCTACTAGGACAAGTTAAAAACTTAAGAATATAGCCTCAAATCCCATTCACTGTTTTTATTGTGAAAAATATATACAATCTGAAAGAGTTCTAAATGGATATCAATGGGAAAGATTGCTAGTTTTTTTCTGCTACAAGACTGAAAAAACAGTCTTCTACAAGTTGTTTTCTTCTTTCAAATCATTTAAACGCTAATGTAAAAGGCAAATGATTGACAGGACAGTGCTACAACAGCTGTGGAAGCTAACCTCAAACAGTCAAATTAAGTGAGTCAGCCCAGATGTCAATTGGAATGTAAAGTTAGTCTGGATTATAGGTCTGATGAAGTGCAAATTTGACTACAGACTTAAAATTCAGGATTTAAACTGTGAATGGAATATTACAAATATTCACCAGCAATCAAAAGTGACCAGTTGTCCCTTTGGGGGGAAATTTTTTTTTAGGTTTTCTAATAATTATGTTCACAGTTATTTTCAATAATGAATTTACAGTTTGAATAACACTAGTAGTTAAATATTTATTCTGACTACATTGTCCTCAGTGCTGGGAATACTAGAATGAACAAAACAGACACGCTCCCCTCCTCTCAGTGCTAACGTTCTGGTAGAAGGTGGCCATGGAGCAAGTGGTTACAAAGTGCAATGAATGTAGGAAACAAGGAGATGGGAAACTAAATCTGATTCAGAGTCAGGGAAGATCTCCTAGTCCAAGAGGAGGAGGAGTTATGTGGATAGCTGAAGAAGCAGTCTGCACGAAGGAACAGAGGTGTAAAAGAATGGCAGCATGAAAGAAACCTGCACATATGGGTAGTCTCAATTGTGAGAAGAATGGTGAGGAATGATGTCCTGAGGGGCCCAGAAGTCACACTGAGGAATTTTTTCTCTGCCTTTTTGGTAGTTGGAAGAACATTCAGTACTGTCAGTTAGACAATAACATGATCAGATTGATATTTTTAAAAAATTACTCTCTGCTTCCGGAGATACATGGGTCTCTAGATGCACTAATGATATACAGAGTATGTGGGTAAGGAAGAGAGGCAGGGAATTGAGGATGATGCCAGATTTTTGGCTTCAGTGTGTATTTATTTTTATTTTTAAACATCTTTGTTTATATTTCCACAATCTATTGCATATGTGTTTAATGGTGGTATTCTGAGCTGTATGTCCTGAGAGGAGCAGATTTGTTGCAGGTTGGGAAAATGGGCATGTTTAGTTTGAGTCACCTGCAAGACAGCCTAGCTGATATGTAGAAGAGCACAGAAAATAAGCAGGGAGATCATAAAAATCCATTTCTCGTGGGTTGAAGAGCTCTTCAGGTTTGCAGAAGGGAACAAGGCGTTGTGTTTGGAAAATTATGGAAACACATGAGGAAGAAAGTCAGCAAAGGCAAAAAGGACAGACATTTAAAAATCTAGAAAGATGTTTGAGAGTACTAATTTAAATGTGGAAAGCAAAGAGGAGAACAGTCATTTTAAACTTTCTATTTTATAAAAATAATTTTGTCTTTAGTCACTCCTCTTGTTGAAAATAGTGATTAATGTGTCGTTAATAATACAAGTTGTTTAAGAAGTTATCTAATAAGCATATTTAAGGGAAAGGGGAAACACATCCATTTTCCTCTCATGTCAGGAGAACAGCTTTGTAAGTAAGGGAAACAATTTGCTAATGTGATGGCATCTTAAGGTATCTTAAGTTATTTCTATGCTTTTTCTATAGCTTTCTCTTAATGTCTAATTAAATGGGGGGTTATCCATCCCCTTTCTTCTCCAGTGGGTTGAAAATGAGCTTATATCCCCATGTATGTAGGAAAATGTTTCACTAGTTAGAATTATCATTTCCTAAAGACCACAGGATCCACAGCTAGGACAGTTCCATCTGTTGGTTACGTTGCCTTAGTCACTGCCACATTTGTTGTTTAAAGGAAAAATGAGTCAGAGCAAAGTTCCAGACGCTGTATTTAGACAGTGGTTTAAGAAGACTCTCTCATTTGCCTGATTTTCAAAATTTTTCATTCTGAGTACAAGATCTTGAGTACCTATCATGTAGGCAATCTGTTGGAGTCTCCCTACTAATATGCGATCTCCATGAGGACTGAGACTTTGATTTGCTCAGTGCTGTTTTCCCAGAACCCTGGGGGTAGTAGATACTTGATAAATACTCATTGAATGAGGAAGAAAAGATCTCTAGGACTACCAAATATGAATAAGACCTGTTCTCAGTTGCCCAATTTGGAAGGGTAAGTGTGGATAATTTAAATGCAATGTGGCAACACAGAAAAGC